GCCTGTTGTCCCAGCTACTTGGGAGGCGGAGGCAGGAGACTCACTTGAGCCCAGGAGTTGGAGGTTGCTGTGAGCTGTAATGCCACAGCACTCCACCCAGGGGGACAGCTTGAGGCTCTGTCTCAAAAAAAAAAAAATCAGATTTGGTTTGTTTTTTTCTCAAAATGGACCTCAACTGAGAAAGAAATTTGTAAAATGACTGTCACAATGTGTTGATTCACTTTACTCCACAAGAAGATTTCTTTTTAATCATGTAATTCCATCTAGTAGGTTTACTTTTCTCACCTGTCTCACTTGTTTGCCCGTGAATCCTCTGTGTGTGTAATTTATTTCCAAGTTATATTAATAATCCATTGAAAATGATGCATTGTTTTTTGTATTTGTAAGAAAATTGAAATAATGAACAAATCTTTTGGGTGTCCAGACTGCAGAAACATTCCCCAACATTCACTCTGCCAGTTCCTGATTTTAACGATAACAAAGGAGTGGAGACTGTACCCTGCATGCTGTGTGGTTTGCATTGTTAACCCAGGTTTGCTTGTCTGTTTCCTAATTCAAACAGAGCGTCAGAAGCCATGATGCATGTAGTGTGTGTGTACTGCAGCTGGAGTGGGCCCCAGACCAGGTATTTATAGACATCACCTTAAGCCTTCCATCCAGTTGTCATCTGTGGTCTGAAAGTCTCTGTATCTGCAGCAGTTTTAGAAGTTAACCTCTTTTGTACACCATTTCTCCTTATTTATCTATTCTGGTTACAACTAGCCTGTATATATGTCTGTCTGTTGGCATGCATACATACATATGTATGTAAATGTAAATTCCTGTGTAAAATGGTATCAATTATTAGAATGGTACAAGAGTGAAAAAGATCCCAATAAAAACAGTGTCCGTTATACCTACCACATGACTATTAGGAATATCAGATGAAAGGGCGGCACCTGTGGCTCAAAAGAGTAGGGCACCGGCCCTATATGCTGGAGGTGGCAGATTCAAACCCAGCCCAGGCCAAAAACTGGAGGAAAAAAAAAAAAGGAATATCAGATGAAGAATATTGGCTCATGGCAGTTTGTCACTGGAGATGACTGTACTTTTTAGATTCCTTAATTCTTTTTTCTAAAGAACCGAAAGCTTTTTTTTTTCATGACTACCTATAATTATAGAGGGACAGAAATTTCAATTTTATTGAAGAAATAGAGTCTTGGGCAGGATTTGTCTAGAATCACAGAGTGAGTATATAGACAGGACTTGTATTTTATTCTCATAACAGGAGCTAAGACTTTGCTTCCCCCCCATCCCTGGCCTGGCGTATTTTCCATAGGAGGTACTTTGCTTCCATTTCCCTGTGCTGTAAATTTGGTAATGTTAGCCTGAGTATATCAGCTGACTTACCAAAGGGAAGAAAGGTAGTTAGTCTTTTAAACAATAAACCTAGGACTTGATAAGAGTTTGCAGGCTGGTTGTAATTAGATGTGTAGCATTTAATTTTTTTCTTTCTCTTTTTCCCCCTTGTAAGAATGGGTTAAAAGCAGGCATAATTTAATTTTAATATCCATTATCCTCATCTGCTTACTTCTCTTATCATTCTGTAAACTGAACCTAGTCCTTCCCTGCATTTAGACCTTAGGCCAGTGAAACTGACCTTCTCAATTGTAGGAGACCTGTATGTTACTTTCATAGTGAGTGCAAAATCCATTGAGGCCATGTTTGCCTTGACCTCACCCTGGTTGTTTATAACACGTACCAGCACCAGAAAGCTGTTATCATACTGTGGATGTTTCACTCCAGTGCATTTTTTCTGTTAGAATTAGTTCAGAATTGAGCCTCTTTTAGAGTCAGCCTTAGAGATTAATAAATAAAACTAATAACTGAAGGCCCGGCACAGTGGCTCACACCCATAATCCTAGTACTCTGGGAGGCTGAGGCAGGTGGATTGCTTGAACTCGGGAGTTCGAAACCAGCCTGAGCATGAGTGAGACCCCATCTCTACTAAAAATAGGAAAAACTAGCCTGGTATAATGGCACATGCCTGTTGTCCCAGATACTCAGGAAGCTGAGGCAAGAGGATTGCTCCAGCCCAGGAGTTTGAATTTGAGATTGCGGTGAGCTGTGATGATGGCACTCTACCCAGGGTGACAGAGTGAGACTGTGCTTAAAAAAAAAAAAACCTAACAAGTGTTTTTAGACTATAATGGATATAGTTTAAACTGAGGCAGATAAGATTGTTTCATAAGTAATGAGTAACTTCCTTATTCGGTGCTTTGTCTTCTGATGCTATTAACTATCGTGTAATTAAAATGATTTAAAGTGGCTTGGCACCCATAGTACACTGGTTACAGCGCCAGCCACATACACTGAGGGTGGCAGATTCAAAATCAGCCTGCTTCAGCTAAACAACTGCAACAAAAAAATAGCCAGGGAGGTTGTGGCAGATGCCTGTAGTCCCAGGTACTTGGGAGGCTGAAGCAAGAGAATTGCTTAAGCCTAAGAGTTTGAGGTTGCTATGAGTTGTGGCACCACGGTACTCTACCAAGGGTGACATAATAAAACTCTGTCTCAAAAAAAATAAATAAAATGATTTAAAGCTACTTGAATGTAACTGCATTGCTTAATAACTTAAGTCAAGGTCAAGCCCCCTTCCACATTGCATATTAATATCTAGCATAGTGTTTTGAGTTGCATCTGCTCTAATAGATTGTATTTTGAGGTCAATTTTGTTAACCAGACTTTTTTGCCTTTTAGTTAAAGATCTAAAAATAGGTGCACAAATGTTAATTTTTAAATGTATCATTGGCAAAAGGAGAGTTGGAACTAATGAGTTTGTTTCCCCCTTTCCTCTAAATCTGATAACTAATAATCCTTTTAAGGTTACGTTATTTGGTAGGGTAATGATTGGGATTTAATCATTAGCCTTACTTTTGTTTTCTTTTTTTTTTTTTTTTTTTTTTTTT